TAAGGGAGGTGAGCCTCCTACGCTTGGTGGCCCTAAGAGAGGTATAAAGGTGGTCCGGTCTAAGGAATGTTAAAGATGGAACCCACATGAACTGAGTATGATGGACCACATACAGCTCAGAGGATGCCAGCCTGGACAGGTAATATCCATGAACCAGACCCTAAGGCACAACAATTCCCCTCATTCCTATGTAAATGTCCCTTTGCAATGTGACTTTCTTAGTCCTCCCATTAAGATGTAGAGTCCATTTTGCCTGCGCTTGAATCTGGGCTAGCCTTGTGACACGCTTTGATTAGTGGGAGGCAATGGAAGTGATTTGTGACTGCTGAGCCTGGGTCTCAAGAAGCCTTGCGGCTCTCACCGTTGCCATCTTGGAACCCTGGGACCTCCATGAATAGAAATTCAAACTAGTCCTCTGGAGGGTAAGAGGCTAAATGGAGAAAGAGGCCCAGGTGACAGGCATCACCAATGGCCCGAATGTGAGGGGGGCTGTCTTAGACCATCCTACCCCAGGAAACCCACCAGATTATTGCAACTACCTGTGTGACCCCCGGCAAAGTCAGCTGAACTTCCAGCTGAGCAGAGACCAAATTGCTGACCCGTAGAATCATGAGCAAACAAAAATGGCTTCTGATTTTTTAAGACACCAAGTTATGGAATGGCTTACTATGGAACCATAAATGATCTATGTGGCTAGAAGGGCAGACTTGGTTTCACTCTAACGTGTTCCACTAGCAATAGGAAGTGGGAGGGGAGGACAGGTCATGGTCATCTTTCTCAAATGGAGATTATGGCATGGGCGGGGCTTCAGAGACGCACTTCTCAGCTCAGGCAGTCGGGTATGATTTCAGGATCTCATCAAGTCCTCTCCAGGCAGCGACACTAACCCCCAGTGCTCACACCTGCTCTCGGATGCCTGAAATTCCTCTAGCTGCAGGCTTCCACTACACTAATTAAAATGCATTACCTTAAGAATATTCCATTACATTAAAATGCAGACATGCTTGGGGAAAGTAACCTACTGACTTCAAGTTTCCCCAAGATGTAAGTAATGGTTGTCCTAGTGTGTTGGGGCTGCTGTAACAGAATACTATAGTCTGGGTGACTTATAAACAACTGAAATTTATTTCTGGCAGTTCTGAAGGCTGGGAAGTCCAAGGTCAAGGCGTTGGCAGACTTGGTGTCTAGTGAGGAAGGACCTGTTTCCTGGTTCCATAGATGGGTGTCTTACTTCTCTCTGTGTCCTCACAGTGGTGGAAGATTTCTTGGGGTCTTATAAGAGCATAAATCTCATTCATGAGGGTTCTACCCTCATGACCTAAACCCTTTCCAAAGGCCCACCCACCTCCTGATACCATCACATCAGGGGTTAGGTTTCAACACAACGAATTTGGAGGGATGCAAACTTCTATAGCAACTGTCTTCAGATCTTAAGAGCAGATTTTGAGAGGAAGTGAGAGCACCGGTCACTCGCAAAAGGGGCTGGGGTGTCTAAGAAAATCCAGTTTTTAGTCCAGGAGACAGCCCTGGCCTATGTCACGGGAGATATTAAGGACCACAAAAAAAATCTTGTCCTCTGGGTTTGGTCCAGAAGGTTTTTAACTATCTTCCAAAGTGCTAAGAATCAGAGTGGAATCTGAAAATAAGGCACTACCTCTACCTGCAGGGCTTTTCAGAGCGTCTGTCAAGAGTTCAGAAACATTCACCCCACCTTATTTATGGCGACGGGGTGTCTCACTTGTCATCCTTGGTAGGAGGCCTGCCCCCACCATAGTGTGGGGTTTAGTTGGTCACTAGCTCTGGATACCCCCTCTCTCCCACGAGCAGCACAAGGGAAAGCTCAGACCAGAAGGCTGGAGATGTTTCTGGACCTATGGGACATAGCGGCCATTTCTTCTGGTAGCTTCTAAGGGAAATGCACATGGGACAAATGAGCCAAATATTGAAAATGACTCCATGGGGTCGCTTCAGCTCTTTTTTCGTTATAAAAGCCAGGTCTAAGCAAGTGCAATTATAATTCTACCAGAAGCTTTAGTGCCATATATATATATATATATATAGCTATGGGCTTTCAAGTTTGTGTGTATCTTAATTGCCTGGTGTGTGCTTGGCTAAGAAAAGGAGGAGATGGACAGTGCTGCAGCGTTTTAAATTACGTGAAGGCTCTGGTGTAAATACAGACCTTCAGGATGCTGGGTACAAGTCATGGCCGCATGTGCCGCACACAAGGCAGCATCGCCCAACAACTGAAATAACAGCTTACGCACCGGCTTTTCTGACTCCTATTATTCATTTCCCCCTTCTCCCTCTAGTGTGAGACTATACATCGCAGGGTTGTTATTCACTCCTCGGACGAACTTTGGCCTGGTGACTTATCCCGGAGGCATGCTCTAATCACTGAGAAATGTGCTCTCTGTCACTTCTCATTGCTTAATTATGGCTCTATGTTAGGCTCCCAGAGCCATTTAGCAGGGAAAGACCTCTCCCATGTGTGACTTTGAGCAGGCATCCAGGTTAGTTATCCTTCCGTTCACACCAGTCTGTTCCATTGCCATCTTGTTCTGGCTTGGGCAATAATTATTGCCCCTTGGTTCAGCAACGCCTTGAATTATTTGTAACGAGCCCTTATAATTATGCTATTCTCCACATAAGAAGATACTATCAGCCCTTTGTCAGAAAGACATATGTTTAAAGTTAATTTTTCTAATACTTTATGTTTTCTTTTTTCAATCAGTGACATGCAAAAACCTCCCTGTTTTCTAATTTCTTCTTGCTCTGGTGACTACCGTTTTTGAACTCAAAATCTGGACATAGGGTTGTTGTTGTTTTAGGCTGTATGTGCTAAAAGTAAACGGAAAGACATGGCAGGTCCTGGATACAGTCTTAGATCGCAAAACAACTGGATAGAATATTGAAAATTAGAAGTGTTCTAAAAATTGGGGACTTCCGAAGGATGTGTTCATATTCAGTGTTCCAACCGTTTATTTTGCCTCCCATCACTGAGACACGATGTTCTGTATCAGCCTTTGTTTTCTGAGCGTCAATCTTCGTCCTTCAAGCAGACTATATGCTTCATAGGGACAAAAGGCACAGATCACAGATCACATGCCCCTTATATAACTCTGTCTATATACGTAGGTATATACAGTTGTTTGATCGATTGCATAGAGATGATGTTGCATTTTTAAGACAGCTGTTTGGGATTAGCAGCTTGCAAAAGTAGCCTGACATGAAGGTAAAGGCAGGCTGGAAAGCAGTGTCCTGCTCCATCCCTCCAGAGAGTAGTTCAAGACAGGCCTGGGGTAGATCTATGTTGAGAAGGGGTATAATTACCCTGGTCCAGAGTGGCCCCGGGTCTCGTCTGGCAGACTGAGTTATATCTATCAGGGCCTTTTAAAATGCTGACTTGGCTCCTTAGAAATACAAAACCCCAAACATCATTTATAAAGGTCACTGGGAATGGCTTGGGTCAGAATAACCGGAGTCCGTTGCGCCAGTGCCTCGGAAGAGGAAGTTGCTGAATGCTTAGATAAAGCTCCTTGAGAGTACTGTGTTGCTGAGTCGAAACAAAGAGACAGAGAGGCTGAGTAGCCGAGCTTTGACGCTGTAATTCAAATGCCAATCCAGCGACTAAGTATGTTCTAGGAATTCCAGTCAGATTTTTATCATCTGACTTGGAAACCAGCTGTGCTCTCAGAGTCCAGAGATTTACTATCTGCAATTGCTGTAATTCAGGAGAATTATGCAGAGGTAAAACACTTGAGAAAAACTTTGTCTTTATTTTAAATGCAATGCGAACTGTGTTTTAAGAAATCCTGCTTCTCTGAAACCCATAAAAGTGGCTCTAATTTTAAAGGAGCAGGTAATCCAGATATAAGAGCTCTTAAATTCAGGAATCCAAGTTTACTCTTCAAAGCATGCTTTTTTAAGGTAATGAGTAACTACAATTTGGTAAAGACCATCTTTTAAACAGAGCAAGTGAGATAACACTGCGTCGGTAACTCCTACATGACACCCCATTTAGAGCCCTGACAACCTTATGCTCTGACTATCTGAGAAGTGGAAGAGAAGAGGAACTTAACATCCGAGAGGAACAGCTCTATAAAGTACTCCAGTAAACTCATGGCAGTCATTTTGAACCAGTAATTTCCTTCCCAGAAATTGACAATTACTGTGGATTTGTGAATCCATATATCAGAAGTCTTTGGAACATATTTTATGATTTTTAAAAGATATCAGGACGCTGGTGGAAAAGCCAGGGCATATGGTCCTCATACCAGAAAGATCCTGCGTCTCCTCCATTTGCTGGTGTTCCTCTCACACATGGGCCACAGCTGCGTGTCCAAAACCAGTGCAACAGAACTCTGTCACTTATATCATCACCTGAGCACTCGGACACCACCCTGGGAAAGCCAAGCAAGGTAAGCTTTTCAAAATAATCTTTTCAGGGGACCCTTCATAGACATATTTGAGAGCATTTTCCACAGACAAACACAAATCCTGAATGGGACGCAAAGCAAAATTTTCAAGAGGGATGCGGTGAACTTCATGGCCTGCGTTGGAAGAGATACATCAAGGTTGGAAGGGATGCGTCCCAAGTTTAGAACTGCACCTTTCCTAGCACTTTAGCTTAAAAGGAGCCGGTCGGCCATTGTGACATAGTGAAATCTCTGCCTCTCAAATGCCTCTTTTGTAGATGATTCAGTAAGATGATCTTTGCAGTTCCACCCAATTCATTCATTTCATGGTTTCACTTGTTCAGGTACCTTCTACGATAAGTACTGAAAGTACTTAGACTGAGAATTAGAGTGTGCTTATCTGTATTTGGGCAACAGTATGGAACCTCATTTATTGATGAGTTTTCCCTAACAGAGGTTCATACCAACGTAGATAATTGTATCTACCACATGGAGACACAGGATGAGTGGCTGCCACATGCTGCTTAGGAGTGCAGACTAAACCGGAACCTTCCTTTACAAGGCAAACAACACACTGCATTATAAACGCATCAGGCTCGTTTATTCCTTAGAAAAATAGGAGAGTATGGACAACCAAGCTTTCAGTTTTTATGTCATCATGCATATGCATAAAAATACAACTATCTATATAAATGCCTCTGCTTAGAGAAGTTAGTCATGGAAAGCTATAATTTCTGCTCAAGTTACATAATATAAAAATACAAAGCGTATCTGCATTACAAGAAAATAATATCCTCAAACTCATTTAAAAATAGGATGTCCGCCACTTTTGCAGAAATTATTATGGATACAATATTACATTTGTCCTCATCCTCTTTCATTTCTTCCTAACACTTAAAATGTATGATTTGAATGTTTAGAATTTTGGATAAATCAGAATTTAATGTGATAGTCACAGATTTTTGTGACAAGACTACAATATTTATACATTTACATATAGCACAATGTAGTGGTCAAGTATTACTGATGGTAATTAACAAACTAGTACAGTAATAATAAAATCATCATTTTAACAATTTAAATGCTTTATGACAACATAAATTATACCCCAACATATAAAACTCATATTTACAGGTAACTTTAGAAAGAAAAATGTATTAATTTTTTTGATAATCAAAAGTAGCAATGAGATTTTTCTACATTATTTTCAGTCTCACTGTAGAAATGTTTTCATTGTCTAAATTTAATCAATGTGTTTGATTAAAGAAAACAATATATTAATACTAAAATTATACATATGGCATATTTATATATACAAGTTTCTGTTTACGTATCAACTAACCAAAACTCAGGTTGTAAACTAAAGACATTCACAAGGCAAACTGAAGACAAAAGTAGTGTTTTGTAACTCTAGTTAAAATACAAATAGATAATTCAACCTACTAGTTTTGTTAGTTGTTTCCTGGTCTCTTTTTCACGTTTCATTTTTAGTGTCTTTTTAGTGATGACATAAAATAATAATAGGATTCTCATTCTCATTCTCAGCACTGTTCCCGAAATTAAATGAGTTTGATGAGGTATTATCATTTTTCATTCCATTTTTCTACATTTACCTGGTGTAAAAACACTCCTAGCCATGTAGTTTTTCTTCTATGCTTCTAAGCCACTTGTTTTCACTCCCAAAATAGGGGCACACTAAATGAACCGGACCAAAATCAAGGTGAACTACGGCCCCCTATAAAATTACCATCATCTGAGATAAGAGTCGTCAAACGCGTTATGAGAAACCTAATCAAGGATTTGAAAATGAATATTGTTGTAAAGAGGCATTTCTCAGAGGTCACGGCATCATCTGCAACAGAAAGTTGACTGACTACCCTAGCAGGTGAGGAGAACACACACTGGCACTTCATGGGGTCAGAGCCGCAGCAAGGTCATTTACAGTACTTTGCACTTGATTCGCGTGGTCCGGAGCAAGAGGGGCGCTGGCGCCGTTTTCACACTGCGCATCTGCGTTTGGCGGCTCTACGTGAACCACCTGTTTCCCGGCTTCCGCTTCTTGGTGGTGAAGGCATCCCTCCACCTGCCCTTCGGGCTCCGCGGGCTCCGCGTCGGCCTGGACGTCCAGCTGCTGCATCAGCTCCTCCAGCTTCCGGGCCTTGCGGAGCTCGTTCTCCTGGATGATCGTACAGAGGTGCTCGGTCAGTTGCTCTTTAGTATCAGTCTTGCGCTGCAGGTCGAGCTTTGCCGCCACGTACTCGGCTTCGGCCCTGTCAAACCGCTTCCTGTAAGGACAGGGACAAAGATGGGTCCGTTGGTTAGTTCTCCACTGAGGAAGATCCTCAGAGGGCCGAGAAACAATAATGAAACTCCGAAATGGGAAAGCAATGTATAATGGAGATATGGATCTTAGCACTTTGCCAAATCGCGTCTGCGCGTTAGACAAACGAGGCCATTGTTGCTGAAACTTGTGCAATGTCCATATTTGGACTCTCCTGATAGAACCACATTTTTCTGCACTCACGTCCTATTTCCAACACTCTGCTTAAATGAAAGCGGGCCATGAGGGCTAATTCCGTGGTGTGCGAGCTCCAGAGGGGGCAGGGCCCTGATGTGCAGTGTTTGTCCATTTCTATAGCGTAAAGGCCGATTTCAGGCTATCAGGGTGGCGTCACTGAGCGCAGAATCGAGAAAAGATGAAAAAAATCTGCTCTCATGAACCACTGCAAGTTAGCGCTCACACACAGCTGGTTAAATGTGGGAGGTAAAACTGTAGGAGATGGAGAAAGTAGAACATCTGTCTCTCTTTCAATATGTATTGGGGTGACATTGGTTAATAATAACGTAAGTTTCGGGTACACATCTTTATAACACGACGTCTGTGCACTCTATTGTGTGCTCACCACCTGAAGTCTAGTCTGCTTTGACCCCATTTGCCCTCTTTGTCAGCCTTTTCCTCTGGCAGACGCCATTCTGTTTTATCTATGAGATTTTTTTTTTAATTTTGTTAGTTCGTTTGCTTGTTTTATATCCCACATATAAAACATGAGTGAAACCATAGTTTTTGTCCTTTCTGTCTGACTTATTTCACTTACATAATACTCTCAAGATCCATCCATATTGTCCCAAATGACAAAATTTCATTTTTTTTATGGCTGATAAGTATTCCATTGTATATATGTACATCTTTATCCAATCATCCATTGAAGGACACTTAGGTTGTTACCACGTCTTGGCTATTGTGAATAATGCAGCAGTGATCATAGGGGTTATACATATATTGGGTTGTCTGAAAAGTCATGACGTATTTTTTCTGTTTTTCGTTACAAAAATGTATCACAACTTTTCCTACAATCCAGTAGCTTTACGAATAAATATTTTCAAATTTTGGGAAAAGGGATTACTGGGTCATATGGTAGCTCTATTCTTAATTTTTTGAGAAACTCTATACTGTTTTTCACAGTGGCTGTACCAGTTTACACTCCCACCAGCAGTGTATGAGGGTTCCTTTTTCTCCACAACCTCTCCAACACTTGGGATTTCTTGTTTTGTTGATAATAGCCATTCTAACATGTGTGAGGTGGTATCTCATAGTGGTTTTGATTTGCATTTCCCTGATGATTAGTGATGGTGTGCATCTTTTCATATATCTGCTGCCCATCTGTATGTCTTCCTCAGAAAAGTGTCTATTCAGATCCTGTGCCCAATTTTTATAATCAGATTGTTTTTGTTGTTGTTGAGAAATCTGTATCTCTTGATTAATGGATTAGAACAGGAGAAAAGTTCTAGTGGAGGATATGGACAGTGGTTGGGAGAAGATGATAAACAGGACAGAGCACACCCAGCCAATGACACAGGGTGGGGCGAGAAGTAAAAATCAAGCAGAACAGAAAGCTTCGAGATAGGCTTATCGGGCGTTTCTCACCCTTGGCACTACCGGCAACTTGAACCATATAATTCTTTGTTGTGGGGTGCTCTCCTGTACATTGTAGGATGCGTAGCATCACTGGCTTTCTCCCACTAGTTGCCAGTAGCACCCTCTACTAGTGAAAGCCAAAAACGTCTCCAGAACATTGCCCAATGTCTCCAAAGGGGCTAAAACGTCCCATTTGAGAATTCCTAGGTTAAGCTGCTCTCACCCTCTCCACTCTGCAGCAACAGACTCCTGTTAGACTCTCATCAGGAAATTTTATATATTTATAGATACATAAACTTCATAGGTAGGCAGTGCAGTCATTCTGGAAGTAGGGCAATTCTACCGGTAAAGTCACTCTGCGGGATCCCGTTTTCCCCTTTGGCATTAGGTTGATACAAAAAGGAAAATTATCATGTATTGGTTTCTTCTCTTTTGCCTTTTCTATATAATTATTGCATTTCTTTCTGCCATGAAAAGCGTTTGATCTCCACTTAGCAATGAATTATTCCTTTAATTACCACTAACAGTTGTGAAGGCCATGCTGCCTTACCTGTTGTGACTGGCTACACAACTCGATGTAAGAAGGAATCTCTAGTACTTGTGTGATAGCAAGGAAATATAGTGAAAAATTGGATTAAAAGGACCCGCCTTTGCTGTGTATTGTGTGTATACATGTTTTGGTCAAGGCTTTTTCTTGGATGTAAAGAACAGATACCCAGTCACAGTGGCTCAGGTAAACGGTGTTTTTTTTTGTGGGTAAAGAGGCAATGTCACAGGCATCTAAGGCTGTCTATCCTCTTCAATGCTCAGAAACCACGGATTCTCTCATTTTGGCTTTCCTAACATACTCACAGCCCAATATGGGCCACCAGCTGTGGCTCTACATGAAATTCACTCCACCCAACTTCTTAAGAGTTCCAATTCCAAAATTCTACAGGAGGACCTGGGTTGGTTTGGCTTGACTCCTGTCAGTTTACACAGAGCTCCCAGGGCCAGGCCATGCTATGAACCCGTTTAGCCTGTGGACTAAGTGTTCTGAAGCTGACAGCTCATCTTTGTTCTAAACAGGGGTGCCTTGGGGTCAGCACCATGAGTACAAAACACAGCCAGGTTCCTATGAAAGGAAGCGATTGGGGAACAGGCAAGCGGGGACCAAAACTCAGTGTAGTAACACCGGGTGGTTTCTTCAATTGAGTCTTGGTTTATCTGTAAAATGGTGAAAGAACAGTACTTCATCAGAGTGTTAAGGATTAAATAGTATAAGTAGGGCAAGGGTCTAGTCCAGTGCCTGGTAGACACTCAAGAAACTCTCTTCCAGAGCACCAGAATCAAAAAGCATTGTTAATACATCACTAAACATGTATCTAAAATTAAAATTATGGAACATTTAAGGACCTGGTGTTTATACTTAAAAACTCTTATATAATGTTCATTTAACGTATTTTTTTTTCTTTTTCTTTTTTTACTGTCATCTAGTAAATATAAGAATGCAAAAACAAGCCGTTTTTCAGTTACTCCCTATGTTATATAAAAGAGTTATTCTCAGCTCTTTTGGATATCTAGGGCCCTTACTTCCACACTTTGTAACATATCCTATTTATGAATGTTCTTGCATTAATCTTGAGAGGTCTGACAACATTCTCTATAGGTTCCTTCCCCCCACTCAAACCTCCCTTCTCTGCACGTCCCCCCTCCGCCAGTCAAAGTCAGTTAGTAAAGATTTACGGATTGGGCTCATGAATGCTGAATTGAAATTAAAATGTGCAAACAGGTCCCTAGGTTTCCATTGATCTTTCATCCTGGACAAATCACTGAAGATTCTGCATTTTGTTTATTTATTTAAAGTCCTTCTGGCCAGAAACATGCATATATATTCTAGTACAGAGTGATTTATGTTGAAAATATTAATTTCACAAACTGCACTACGAACGAGACTGGGAGTCAGGTGGCTGCACCAAATCAGAGAGGGGTGACATACTTTGGAACAGAATAATAAGAGCATTATATGTAACACAGGAAGACCAACTGAACTGAAATGCAGTTATAGAATTGTTTTGTTATTTTAAAGGGACATTGATGAATGTGATTGAAAGGATTTTAGAAACTGTCTCTCGATTTTGGTGTCCCTGAAATTTTTTAAAAGCTCATTCATTAACCCTTAGCATGCCATTAGGATCCACAGACCCACTGTTAGTTTTTCAGTTCCTTTTTTGGGCAATTCTAACTATTAGGTTGTCAGAAAAGTCAAGAAGTATTTTTTCTGTTTTTCGTTGCAAAAATGGGTCATGACTTTTCTGACAACCCAATATTTGTAAGGGTCAACATATCATGACTTTTTTTTTTTATCTTTTCTTAGAAGGCTTCCAGAGAACGAAGAGAAAATTTACTTATATTTTAAAAAACTGAATAAAACTAACCATAATTTGCAATTATTATTAATATATAGGTCCACTGGATCTTTTTATAAATTTAAGATACATTATGGGATCATTGAGATATTATTTTTCCTACATATTGAAACAATTTGCCACTTCATCACCCTAGGAATTATTTCCTCGTTATTCATCAAATATTCCCATTTATGCTAAAAAAATTAAAATAAGAAGAAAAAGATGGAATGACCTAAAAGGATGATGCTATAATGAAATATATCATCATCATTTAGTTTCCTTACTGCGTTGTCTAAAGTATTACATCACCTTTCAAGAAAGTATAAGACTGGAAACAGCATATTTGTAATCTGCTCTCAACTTTCACTGAATGCAGTTAAAGAATTAATACTTTTTGTTTTCCGCCCATGATGGCAAAGTAGAGAAAACTGACAGATGAAGACATTTCGCAGTTATTAGACAAATCAAAAGACAAATTTGTGGTAGGCTAAAAAATAACCCCCCGGAACCTGTGAATATTACCTTATCTGGCAAAAGATGTGATTAAGCTACAGATTTTGAGAGAAGTTTATTCTAGATTTTCCAATTGGGCTCTAAATGCAATCACATGTATCCTTTTAAGAAAGTGGCAGAGGACGTTTTGAGAGAGATGAGGAGGAAGCATCGTGAGGATGGAGGCACAGAGGTGAGTGTGCAGCCAAAAGCCAGGGACCCCTCCCGCCACCAGAAGCCAGGAAAGGCAAAGAATAGGTTCTTCCTGAGGGTTTCTGTAGGAACAGTGACCTGCCGACACCCTGATTTCAGACTTGGGCTTCCAGAAATTAAATTTCTGTTATTGGAAGCCACCCAGTTTGTGGTGGTTTGTTACGGCCGTCCTAGGACACCAACTCAAATGCCGACACACAGTGTGGAGTCTAGGTAAGTGAAACTGGTCATAAGTGAAATCTCAAGAGTACGGAGTCTTCAGAAAAACACATCCCAGATAAAGTTCCTCAAACCCAAGGATCAATGAGTGAAAACTGTATTTCTGAGGATAAAACTAAAATAGGTTATTTTCACAGCATTAATTTCAAAAGCAGGAACTTAATCACACAATATTTTACAAGTGTCTGGACCGTCCTGTGTTGCTGAAAGGATGTAACTGCATTCTTTCAGCGTGTATAATTTTTGGAGTCAAATGTTCCTTGATACAAAGAGGTTTGCTATGCTTACATTCTCATAAAAACTTTAATAAAGTGGTTTTCCACAATCCCTTTTATTCTTACTTTTGTAACTTATTCGTAAAATGACTGAACATATTTATGTACATATGTATGTGCATGTGTGTGGGGGAGTGTCTATTAAACATAGATGGCAAATGGTGATAATCGGTTTTTCTGGTAGATTGAGGGTTAAAGAAATGTCCTACACGCAGCCACTCTCAGTTTTACAAGCTGGTCTGCACAGCACATGGCAGCGTTGTCACTGTGGCTGTGAACAGCGGCAGCCCCGGCAGCAGCCCCTTGAGTTGGCTCACTCAAAGTGCTGGTCTCCTCGGAGATGTCGGCCCTGACACTGCTCTACAGAAGCCAACTGTAAAGCAATCTCTGGCCTGTTCAGTCTCCAAGAAACTTTTGTGGACACAGCACTGGACCAGGCACTATAGAACTACATTATTTTTATTAAAAAACAAAACCAAAAATCAAGGACATCTCCCAAAGAAACTGACTGCCTTGGGGATTATTTTCCAGTAGAAATCTAAGACCATAATATTATATCACCAATCTGTAATTTGTCAATAACCACAGATACAAATTTAGAAAATACTGTCTTAAACTTATGCCTAAATAAGATACAAACCCTGGTTTTAGTCACGTTTGTCTACGTGATTTTTAGAAATAGCCTCACATATACAGTTTCACATATAACTATGTCAAAATCAGTACCATGAGAAATGACCATTTTTAGCTTGTTAAGAGATATAAAAAATTACAATGTAAAATTTTTTTACCATATAAAAATTTACTAAAATATCACTAAAAATATATATTATGGGATGTCTTCTCCTTTAACCAGTAATCCCACCTTCTTTGTGGTTCTCTGAAGGCTGAAACTATGACATTTTTTACATAATGTTCACTGTACAAAGGCATCCTTCTCCAGCCTCCTCTAGGACAAAATGAAAACATAATCAGATGATTTTTCTGTTGAGGTATCCAGAATAATCTTAATTATTCATATAAAGGGTTATAAAGACACAAAAATGTCCCTCTGGCAATCTTAAGTTCCAGAGAATAAAATGTGCTAAATATCTAGGCTTAGTTTAATCTTAATAAAATCTTGGTCACCTCTTTAATGACCTTAGTAGTAGAAATCTGGAACCTCCAGTTATCAGCTACTGATGGCATTAATTTAGGCAGTTAATTAATAAAGGCAACCCATTAAGTCTAATAGCATCTGGTCAAACAGCTATTACAAAAATCACAAGGACACAACCACAAGCCTCTTTCTTAAACAATAAACAGTGAATGAAAAACCACAATCAAGCATTTCCGCTTTATTAAATTGTTCTATAAATGTTCTGATGCTGTGGTCTACCCTGGACTAATGAGGCATTCTGATTGATTTTAGTGTTACAGAGAAAGATGCAAAACTGAGTCATTAACACAGCATACCCTCGTGAAAAAAGACAAACCAGGATGATTAAAGCAATGTTGAAAGGACTGAAAACCCTGAAATTGGACTTAAAGTTTTGCCTTTGTATCTGTTTGCGAAGTTCATGTAATTCTTTACATGTGTTAGTTCATTTTAAAAATACTCCATGATGATTTTTTTCTCTTAAAAAATGCCTATGGTTCAACCCTAGGAAACACATGATAGTAAACCATTTTATACAGAATATAATCAAAAAGAAAAAAACCAAACCAAAACAAAAAACACTTCAAGCTTTTAAGACTGAGTAGTATTTTCCTTAAAATACTCATAGGCTTAAAAAAAAAACAAAACTAGATCTTCTTTCTTTGATGAAAACTGAAAAGAGAACTAAGGACAATCTCAATCCAAATTTCGTAATAGAAAGAGCACAACCTTGGTGTAGAATACGAATAGTTTTAGGGCAAGTCATTCAGCTATTTAGAGTCCCAAACAGTAAAGACTAAGATGTAACTAAATAACGCAAGAACTACTCTACCAGAACCCTGAACGAGGTTAATGGGTAGGGCTAAGGAAAGGAAGGCTTCCAGAAGAGGCGACATACTTTAGTACAAAACAGGAAAAAACACAGTGCATAATGGGGTTGTTATGAGGCTTACATGATGATATATGGAAAAGCTCCTGGCCCAGCTAGCAATAATCATTAATTAACTGGGACTCACTGAGCATGTGAATAGTCTAGACTGGCCTGATCGATCCGGTTCCTGAGGATCCCAATGTCAGCCGACACCATGTCATCCAAAGCCTGCAACTCCTTCTGGATACGCTTTAGTTTCATGGTCTCTGCCTGAGTTCTTTTAGATCTAGAAAATCAGGAACATGAGTGGGAAAATAAAAACATTTTAAAATCATATGTCCATATACAACAGAAGTGAAAAAAGCAGCTACTGTACATATGGTTATAATGTATAATGTTTAAAAACTAGAAAAAGACAGAAACATTGAAATACATCAAATGCTGCTAACATGTTGGTATTATCTCTAAGACTGCATTTATGCCTCTTTCCTTTATTACTCCACATTTTCTATGAGTATATATGATTTTCAAATACAAGGGAAAAAGATGAAAAAATATATCAATAAATAGTCCACGTATAGGTCTATATTTGTTCCACAAGGACAAGAGTAAGCAATAAAAGAATGTATCTGTATTTTCTTTACACTTGGAACATTGAACACAACTTTTCAAATCTTTACCCTTAAATTCTTCTTGCTAAGCCCATTTTCATTTGTCTGATACCTAAGGGACACCAAGAACAGAAGCGTGATTTAAACACCATTTCATTATACATCTAAAAACATCTATTTGGTTTTAACTTTCTTAGGACTCATTTCCCCAAACTTTAATTGCTTCGATTCCTGTTCTTCAGGCAAAACTACAGGTCCTCCAAATTTCTCTTTCTGGGGCTCAAACCCAAGTCCTCATCACTCTCAAGTACATTATATACTTCAGAAACAGAATAAACAAAGACAGAAGCCAACCTTTAATCATCATTTCGCTCATTTCAAAATTTCACACACATTCTCACAGAAGAATAAAACTCACACATAAAACCACTACATTGCAACTTACATTTTCCCAATTTCTACTCCACTTATACATTTACCCTTGCTTTCTGCCTATAAAAGTTAACAGTGTGATTCTTTTACTTCAAGTACTATACTTCAGTGTCTTATTAATAACCTAATCAACTTATAGTTCCTTACATTTCTGTCTGTGTCAGTGGTTTCTTAAATCAAAAGCATGCAGAGCAAACCAAGTACTAAATTTTTTTGTAAAATCTTTTTGTAAAATCCCCAGTAAACAGCCACCCTACCCTCTTTCAAATTGAAGATTACTAAAGTGCTTTCCAATAATCACTTTTCAATAATCATGGCTTTTTTTTTTTTCTGGAAACATAAGTTCAGTAAGTTGCATATTTCCTATGTTTTGTGCAAGATCAAGGTATACCAGTAGGAGAAAAAAACATCATTTTCAAATGCACACTATATCCCTTTGGCAGATAAAATCTGTATTACTCTTATACCCACCTGCCTTTCTCTCCATCCCTATTCCTTCCCCTCCCTGACACACGTGGGCTTCAATCAATAATTGTTTGGCCAGACTTTTCTAGATATTTAACACTTTGTAAGCGGGCATTTTTCTCTATACCTGAGTTAACTCGTCTGCGCTTTGGTATAAAAAGCGCTATGACGAGTTTACTCATTTCCCGCAAACAATGTGTTAAAAGAAAATGCCACTGAATACTTGCTTGTATTTATTATAGTTCTGGCTGTTCTCAGTCATTGCTTTATTAACTAAACTTGGTTTCCTCAGGCCACAGCACATTAGAAACTACAAACTAAAAGAGCAGAAAGAATGGGTGGGAATGGGAAAAGTGGCTCAAAAGCGAATGTTGCTGTTCCAGGGCAGGACAGTGCAGTAAAGGAAAAGGGATCGCTGACACACTGACACTGGGACATGACAAAAACTGAACTGCACACTGTATGGGACAGTGCTCATGACCATGACCGAGTCATCAATAAGAGGTTAAATTATATCCTGTATCTTCTATCAGTGAAGGCAAGGGAAATTATTTAAGAAAACTGTCCATAGGAAACACAATTAAGATTTGTGGGAGTACAAGTTACTTATGTGGGCTAATCTTACTCCTCTACTTCAGATGCTAACGGCCTCCTGACGTCAAAATTAAAACCTGCATTTGTTGCTAATTTACTTATACAGATAGCTATTGACTGTTCCCTCATGAATGTGTAGATGGTCAAAGCTGAAAATACTGACACTGATCCTTAAGTTTTAATCACACCTGTATTCATAAATTTGTTATGATCTATGCATAAAAAGTCCTTCTTGATAAATTAACACTGGACTTTCAGCATCATTTATAAAGCATAATTTGTTTAGTTAGCCTTAAAAAATGGTTGTAGAGAAAAATGTCAGTTTATTGGAACAGACATGGGAAAATAAATGTGAAACACGACAGAGCCGACTGTGGCTTACAAACCTCTCCTGGTTCAGGTGTCTCACCTTTCGGCAATAGCTTTAGCCAAAAGAGCTTTCTTACGTTTATTTTTCTCTTCCATTAGCCGTTGTTCTTGTTGGAGGACTTCCCAACGAGATTTTTCTTGCCTAGGGAGAAAAAAAAAAAGTGTAAAAATGAGTTTCTGAAACCCCAGCCCATACATTACCAGTCTCTCAGTCCCCTACATATAAAATTTAATCAGCCAGATTATGTATATATTCTTTCAAAAGTCCTCTTAAAAAGAACCCATCTGCAGCTCATTATTTTGTTCTAATAGGAACAAAGACTATGATTTGAAGTAAAGAAGGCTTACATAAATTGGCCCTTTGAAATCCATTATATGTATATAATCTAGGAACCCACACACTGGAAGCCAGAATAGTGGCATTTTTTAGGAGTACAAAGAAACTTGTGTAAGTTAATTATTATATGCCAATGGAGAGTAAAATAAATAGGTCTGTAGCTAATGTCATGTTATATATTTCAGAGGTTTTTTTTTTTAAATCATTTTAATGATTTAATCATTAAATCACTTTACATTCCACATTCTTGGGCACATGGAACATATTTATAATAGCTGTTTAAATATTCTTTGCCTGATAATTCCCATGATTTGTGGGCCTGTTTCTTTTGATAATTTTCTTCCTGGTTATGTATCACAATTTCCTGCTTCTTTCTATGCCTAGAATTTTTTTGCAGATTGAATATGCATTTATTTAAAAAATTATTAAAATTTTTTTTTTCTGTTACAGTTGACATACAATATTACTATATCAGTTTCAGGTATAAAACCTAGTGATTAGTCATTTATATAACTTAAAGTCATCATCCTGATAAGTCTAGTACCCATCTGACATCATAGTTTTTACAATATTATTGACTATATTCCCTAGGCTGTACTTTAACCTTGTGACTATTTTTATAACTGCCAATTTGTACTTCTTAATCCCGTCACCTTTTTCGCCCATCTCCCCAACCTTCCTCCCATCTGGTAACCAGCAATTTGTCCTCTGTATATATGAGTTTGTTTCTGTTTTGTTTGTTCATTTATTTTGTTTAGATTCCACATATAAATGAAACCATATGTTATTTGTCTTTGTCTGACTTATTTCACTTAGCATAATACCCTCTAGGTCTATCCATGTTTTTGCAAATGGCAAGATCATTCTTTTTATGGCTGAGTAGTATTCCATTGTATATATGTACCATTCTTTTTAATCCATTTGACTATCAATCGATACTTATCTTGGCTTTCATATCTTGGCTATTGTAAATAATGTTGCAATAAACACGGGTACATAGATCTTTTTGAATTAGTGTTTTGGATTTCTTCGGATAAGTACCCCGAAGTGAAATTGCTGGGTCATAAGGTAGTTCTATTTTTAATTTTTGAGGCAACTCCATACTGTTTTCCACAGTGGTGGCACCAGTTTGCAATCCCAACAGCGCATGAGGGTTCCCTTTTCTCCACATCCTTGCCAACATTTGTTGTTTGTTGATTTATTGATGATGGCCATTCTGACAGGTGTGAGGTGATATCTCATTGTGGTTTTAATTTGCATTTCTCTGCTGATTAGTGATGTTGAGTGTCTTTTTATATGTGTGTTGCCCCATCTGTATGTCCTCTTTGGAGAAATGTCTATTCAGGTCCTCTGCCCATTTTTTAATTTGATTGTTTTTTGTTTGTAAAGTTGTATGAGTTCCTTACATATTTTAGATATTAACTCCTTCTTGGATGTATCATTGGTAAATACCTTCTCCCATTCAGGTTGTCTTTTCATTTTGTTCATGTTTTCCTTCGTTGTCAAAAACTTTTTAGTTTAATGTAGTCCAATTTTTTTTGGAGACATAGCCAAAAATATATTACAAAGAATGATGTCAAATAGTTTGCTCCTTATGTTTTCTTCTAGGAGTTTTATGGTTTCAGGTCTTACATTTAAGTTTTTAATCCATTTTGAGTTTATTCTTGTATATGGTGTAATAAAGTGATCCAGTTTCATTCTTTTGCATGTACCTGTTTTCCCAACACCATTTATTGAAGAGATTTTTTTTTCCCATTGTATATTCTTTCCCTCCTTTGTCATCATTAATTAACCATATAGGCGTGGGTTTATTTCTGAGCTTTCTATTCTGTTCCATTGATCTATGTGCCTGTTTTTATGCCATTACCACGCTGTTTTGATTGCTGTGGCCTTGTATTGTTTGATATCAGGTACAGTGATACCTCCAACTCTGTTCTTTCTCAAGATTGCTTTGGCTATTCAGTTTCATATAAATTTTAGAGTTATTTGTGCAAGTTGTGTGAAAAATGTCTTTGGTATTTTGATAGGGATTGCATTGAATCTGTAGATTGCTTTGGGTAGTATGGACATTTAAATGATGTTAATTCTTCCTATCTATGAGCACAGTATATTCTGCCATTTATTTGTATCTTCTTCAGTTTCTGTCTTCAATGTATTAATGTTTTCTGAGTATAGGTCCTTTACCTCCTTGGTTAAATTTATTCCTACTCATTTTATTCTTTTTGATGCAATTGCAAATGGGATTGTTTCCTTAGCTTCTTTTTCTGGTGGTTTGTTATTGGTGTATGAAAATGCAACCAATTTCAGAATATTAATTTTGTATCCCGTTACTTCATTGAATTCATTATTTCTAATCATTGTGTGTATGTGTGTGTGAAATCTTTAGGGTTCTCTCTATATAGTATCTTGTCATCTCCAAATGACAAATTTACTTTTTCTTTTCCAATTTGTATGCCTTTTCTTTTTCTTGTCTGATTGCTGTGGCTAGGACTTCCAATACTATGTTGAATAAAATTGGTAAAAGTGGACATCCTTGCCGTATTCCTGATCTTAAAGAAAATGCTTTCAGCTTTTCATCATTTGAGTATACTGGTTGTGGGTTTGTCATATATGGTCTTTACTATGTTGAGGTATGTTCCCTATATCCACACTTTGCTGACAGATTTTATTATAAATGGATTTTGGATTGTGTCACATGCTCTTTCGGCGTCTATTGATATTATTGATGAATTTTATCTTTCATTTTGTTTATGTGGTGTATCACATTAATTGCTTTGTGGATACAGAACCAATCTTGCATCCCAGGAATAAATTCCACTTGATCATAGTGTATAATCTTTTTAATTGCTTAATTATGTTTGCTAATAACTTGTTTAGGATTTTTACACCTATGTTATCAGGGATATTGGCCTATAATTCCTTTTTTGTAGTGTCTTTGATTTTGGTATCAGGGTAATGCTGGCCTCGTAAAATTAGTTTGAGGGCCTTCCCTTCTCTTCAACTTTATGGAACAGTTTGAGAAAGATAGGTATTAAATCTTCTTTGAATGTTGGTAAAATTCACCTGTGAAGCCATCTGGTCCAGGGCTTTTGTTTGGAGTTTTTAAATTATTGATTCAATTTTGTTAGCAGTTATCTGTTCAGATTTTGTTTCTTCCTGATTTGGCCTTGGAAGGTTGTATATTTCTAGGAATTTATCCATTTCTTCCAGAATGTCCAATTTGTTGGTATGTAACTGTTCTTAGTATTTCCTCATGAACCAGCTCTTGGTTTTATTGATCTTTTCAATTGTGTTTTAGATTCTATTTCATTTATTTCTGCTCTGATCTTTATTATTTCTTTCCCTTTCTTCACATTGGGCTTTTTTTTTCTTCCAGTTTCTTTATGTGTGGCATTAGATTGTTTGAGATTTTTCTTGTTTCTTGAAGTAGACTTGTACTGCTATAAATTTCCCTCTTGGAACTGATTTCCCTGTGTCCCATAGGTTTGTTTTGGATCATTGTGTTTTCATTTGTCTCAAGGTTCCTCGATTTCCCCCTTGACCTGTTAACCCATTCACTATTTAGTGGCATACTGTTTAGCCTCCATGCGTTTGTGTTTTCTTCTTGTAGTTGATTTCTAGTTTCTCACCATTGTGATCAGAGAAGATGCTTGGTATGGTTTCAATCTTCTTAAATTTATTGAGACTTGTTTTGTAACCTAACATGTGGTCTATCCTGGAAAATGTTCCATATGCATTTGAAAAGAATGTATATTCTGCTTCTTTGGGACGAAATGTCCTAAAAATATCAATGAAGTCCATCTGGCCTAATGTGTCATTTAAGGCCACTGTTGCCTTGGTGATTTTCCATCTGGCTGATCTGTCCATTGGTTTCAATGGAGTGTTAAAGTTCACTATTATGACTGTATTCCTGTCGGTCTCTCTCTTTATGTCCATCAGTGTTTGCTTTATATATTTAGATGCTCTTACATTGGTTGTATAGATGTTTATGTAAGTAATGTCCTCTTGTTGGATTGATCTATTTATCATTATGAAATGTCTTTGTTTCTTGTTATAGCCCTAGTCATTTTTTTTTTGAGATTTTATTGGGGAATTGGGGGAAGGGGAACAGACAAGTTGCTGTCCTTTTGTTCTTCAGTCTAGTTGTGGAGGACGTCGCTTCACTGGCCCATGTTGGTATTATCATTGTGCTCTTCCCAAGAGAGGCAGTCGCTCGCCAGCCATTGGACGGCCACTTACGGCAGCTCATACCGGCTGCTGGCCAGCCCCACTGCAGCCTATGCCATCACCGGTGACTCATGGTAGCCTAGCTCCAGGTCGAGCTGCTGTTCACCATCTTAGCTGTAGAGGGCGCAGTGTCACTGGCCCTCATGTGGGATCAGAACCAGGGCCCTACTGCTCAGAGCTGGTGTCCCAAGTCAACTCCTAACCAATGCGCCACTCAGCCGGACCCAGCCCTAGTCTTAATATCTATTTCATATGATACAAGTATTGCTACCTGAGCCTTTTATTTTGTTTCCATTTGCATGAAATATTTTTCTGTCACTTTACTTTCATCTTTGTGTGTCTTGCTATCTGAAGTGGGTCTTTTGTAGTTATTAGCATGTGTATGGGTCTTGTTCTTTAATCGATTCACCCACTGTTATGTCTTCTGAGTGGAATATTCAGTCCATTTACATTTAAAATAATTATTAATAGGTATGTAGTTATTGCCATTTTTATGGTCTTCTGATATTTTCTGTAGTTCTTTGTTCCTTTCTTATTCTCTCTCTCTCTCTTCTCTTGCATGTTGATGATGTTCTATAGTGTTGTGCTTGTGTTCCTTTCTCTTTATTTCCTGTATATCTCTTGTAAGATTTTGGTGTGTGGTTAACATCTGCTTCATATATACAGCTATGTTTACAGCAGTCTATTTTAAGTTGATGGTCACTTAAGTTCAAACACATTCTAAAATCACTACCATTTTTACTACCCCTTCCATGTTTATGTTTTTGTCATTCTTTTTTACTTTTTGTGTATCCCTTGATTTACTGTTGTAATTACACAATTTTCCTACTTTTGCCTTTTAATCTTTGCACATGCTTTACCGTTGGTTCATCCACTGATTTTACTAAGTGATTACACTCGTCAGTGAGAATTTTGTTTATTCCTATATTTCTTATTCATATTTTTAATCTTTTCTTCTTAGAGGTCCCTTTAACATTTCTTGTAATACTGGTTTAGCGGTGCTAAACTCCCTTAGCATTTTCTTGTCTGGAAAATTCTTCAATTCTAAATGATAGCTCTGCTGGGTAATCTTTGTTGTAGGTCTTTACTTTTCATCACTTTGAATATTTCATGCCAATCCCTTCTGGCTTGCAAAGTTTCTGTTGAGAAATCAGCTGATAGTCTTAGGGGTGCTGCCTCGTACATAACTAATTGCTTTTCTCTTGCTCATTTTAAGATTCTGCCTGTAATCTTTGGCATTTTAATTATGATGTATCTTGGTGTGGGCCTGTTTGGGTTAATCTTGCTTGGGACTCTTCATACTTTCTAGACTTGTATGTCTATTTCCTTTGCCAGGTTAGTAAAGTTTTCAGTCATTATTCTTCAAATAGGTTCTCAAGCCCTTGCTGTCACTCTTCTCCTGGTGATGATGCAAAAGTTGGTATACTTCATGTTGTCCCAAGAACCCTTAAATTGTATTAATTTTTTTCTGTTTTGCTGTTGCGATTTGGTGTTTTCTGCTACCTTGTTTTCCAGATTGCTGATTCAATCCTCTGCTTCATCTAATCTGCTGTTGATTCCCTCTAATGTATTCTTCATTTCAGTTATTGTATTCTTCATTTCTGAATGCTTTTTTTTATGGTTTCTATTTCTTTGTTGATGTTCTCACTGAGTTAATCTATTTTAACCTAAGTTCATTGAACGTCCTTATAAACCAGTGTTTTGAACTCAGTATCTGGTAGATTGCTTGTCTTCATTTCTAAGTTCTCTTTCTGGAGTTTTCTCCTAATCTTCCACTTGGACTATGTTTTTTTGTTTTTGTTTTTGTCTCATTTTGGCTGCCTCCGTGTGTTTGTTTGTATGTGTTAGGCAGACCTGTTACATCTTCCAGTCTTGGCAAAGTGGCTTTATGCAGTAGGTGTCCTGTGTGGCCCAGTGTTGCGGTGTTCCTGTTCAGTTGAGCTAGGTGCTCCAGAGATCTCCTTTTTATGGGCTGAGTGTGCCCTCCTATTGTAGCTGAGCCTTGATTGCTGTTGACACTTCAGTGGGTGGGATTGACCCTCATGCTGAGAGGGCTGACTGTTCTACAGTGCAGATGCTGTTATGCGGTGGCTGGTCCCCTAGAACAGGAGTCTCTTTAGCAGGGCTCTGGTGTCAGTTGAGTATGCCCTACAGGTGTGTCATTTGTGGAGTTGGTTGGGTGGTGCTCCAGTGTGGTCTGAAGTTGGTCACCGGGTATGTTGGTTGTGGCGCCTCTTTGCAGGTTTCTGTTGCAGGCCAAGATCAGCTTCCATTTGTGCCCGGCTTGGGGCCACCTAGTGTGAGCTACCAAGTGATCTGAAGTTGGTTGACACTTGTGCTGGGCTTGGAGGAGTTGGGGCAAGGCCAAGCTGTGAACTGAGGCCAGCTGCCAAAAGTGCCAGGCTTGGGACCCTTTCTCTGGTGGGCACCACGCTTTGAGCTGAGGCCAGCCACTACTTGTGCTGCGCTTGTGGCGGCTTAAAGCTATGTTCTAAGCCAACACTGGCTGCAGCATATGCCAGGCTTGGGGCCACTTAGCAAGTGGTACAGGGCACACCAAGGCCAGTCGCTGCTTGTTTGGGGTTTGTGGACTTTGAGAGATTTCAGCAAAGTCTGCAGCACAAGTTGAAGCCAGCCAATTGCGTGAAAAAGCTCCTGGAAGCGGCTTGGCCAGGTGTGCGAGTTGGGTGGGGGTAGGGTCTCAGGGATTCACCAGGGAGGGGTGAAGGATGTTAGGTTAATTGAGAGTTCGCATTTGGTGCCCGCTTGCACCTGCTGGCTGGGTGAAGGTAGGCCTCAACAAAGGAGCAATGGTGCCCGCCAGTACCTCCATTCCTGGAGAGAGCTGCTCTGACCCCTGCCCCTCCAACCCTTCCCCTGAAACTAGTCAGTTCAGTTCCTCCCCATTTGTCCTTGGTGCTTTTTGAGCTGCTACCCCTGCTAGCTTAGAGCAAGTGAGTCTGTGAGTGAGTCCATGTGTGGGGTCCTTAAGAGGAACATCTGGGACCCCAGCAGCCCTCTGTCTCACTCACATGCAATCCCCGCTGGTTCCACAGCCAGAAGTTATGGGGACTCCTCTTCCCAACATTGGTGCCCTGGGCTGGGGAGCCAGGTGTGGGGCCGGCAGTCCTCGCTCCTCAGGGGGGACCTCTGCAGCTGAGATAGCCCTCCTAATCTTAATCACCACACCATGGGTGTGGAACATGTCCATTCAGTGTCTCTGGCCCTCCTAACAGTCTCAACATGGTTTCTTTATATCCTTTGTTACAGGACTTCTGTTCAGCTAGTCATCAGGTAGTTCTCAATGATGGCTGTTGTACAGTTCAGTTGCAATTTTGATGTGGTCATAGGAGGAAACGAGCAGTGTTTACCTGCTCTGCCATCTTGACTGGAAGTGACTCCAGAGTTTTCTATAAGGAAAGCCTCCACCATGTAACACCCTTAGGACAATAATCAATGTTTAGTTCATTTTCTTTCTGTTTGCTCATTTCTTTCCAAATCTTAAACATTTTTAAACAGGTTGAAACATTAAGACTTGAATACTGGGTTAAAAAAAAACTTCAAAGATCTGAAAACATGAATTGTCTTCCAATCTGTCCAATTCTGAAACAAGTATATTAAAAATTTCCCATAAATTCCCGAACTTGATGTCAACCCAAATTCAACAAGGCAATGACAAAGCTATTTGTTCCCATTATTGTTATTTCTTACAGCCATTATATCAAACATATTTATTTTCAGACATAGTAACCACTTCCAAAATTATTCCTTTCTCTCTATTCCTGCAGCTTCCAACTTAGTGCTGGCACTGGCCCTTTCTCATTTTTACTATTGCGGGCATCTTCTCACCAGATACCTTAGTTCCAATTCACCCAGGGCCGTATCCCAAATGGTCTGCAACACTAACAGCTGAATTTTCTCTAACTATTGTATTTTGATCACAACATCTCTCCTTCAGAGGCCTTGGTGGTATACGACTGCATCAGGGAACTCACTAGGGAAGAATCCTCTGCTTCCGAGCCCTTCTTCACTTTCCTATTTCTTTACTATTCTCTTGCCTATCCTTTGCCTCTTCCAGAGAAGTGAGACATCATCTCTGAGCATTCTCTGGGCTACAGCTTTCCATTCCTGTTCTTATAGCCTCAGAATTTCTCCTTTTTAACAACAGTTCCTGAGATTACATTTCTTCTATGAAAAATTTCCCCAGTACCTAAAAACAGAATAATTTTCCTTATGATATTCAATCTAAATTGGCCTGCTCGATTCAAACCCACCCCCCACCTGACTCAGGGCTTTGTTGGTAAACTACATTTAAAGTACACTTAACGACATTTAAATGCACTTGTTCAATCTTGGTCTCATAATTCATGTGGCTTTCTATCTCCTGTCAAAATTATTTGCTGGTTATAAACCCCTGGTGAGTAGGAAAAAGTTCAAACTCAAAAGTACAGAATCTAGATCAGCAGAGATTGGAAAAATATCTGATTAGAAAAAAACCCAAGATACTTTGAAAAACAAATACTCGGAAAATGGAAAATAGAAACAAATGCCATCCTTTCTTCCCTATGACCAATATAGTAGGAAACAAATAAGAGTAGATATTAAAACATAAGCCATAGTGTAAAAAATTCTGATTATATGAATTTATAAGTCATAGAATGGCAATTTCCATAAGAATGTGGCTAAACTAAATTCTGGAGGCGTTTTCAAATACAAACAAATTAAATAAAGAATAAAGAAAAATCTAAATATGCAACTAAATTATTTAACTAGTCCCTTCGATTTCCTACATTCTTTCCTTTGACTATCTCTATATGTCTCTTCACAAGTACCCACTTTGGGCCAATCGAGATGTAGTCTAGAAGCTGAAGAATGGGTTCATTTAGGGAGGAGTACTGTGCATTAAGAAACGCCTCTGGTGGTGTAAAGAGCACAGACTTTGAATTCGGAAAGACTTTTATATGAAACCCATCTCTGCTACTTCTTAGCTGCATATTTGCTTTGGGAATATAATAGCTTTTCTGAGTCCAAGATAGCTCATCTGTAAAGTGAAAATAATGAACATGCATTATAAGGCTGTTGTAAAGACTAAATGACATAAACATATAAAATATCTAACACTGACTGGCTTATAACGTATTTAGGTGGTAGTTATTTTTCAACAATTTATGTATCACATTTCTTAGAATATAAAACAGAAAAAAGTGTTAAAACTATATTTCTTCAAAGCCCAAAAGGAATAAAAGGTAAAATGGAAAAAAGTCTCATGGATATACAGACTTACTAACAATTCCACTTTCTTTTTCTCCAATTTGCAATCTGGCTTTGGAGGTGGGACCTCAGCATTTTTGTGACCATCATGGGAATTTTCAAGTTCCAGTTCCCTTGGTTGACTTTCAATACCCTGTGGTTTTCCATCACCAATAGGAGAGGTAGGTGTAAGAGAACTAGGAGGACTAGGGGTAGAAAAATTTGGCTTCTGAGTATTAAAGCTCTGTTTTGGTGCAGACAGCAGCTGCTCTGGAGGTAATGAGGTTGATCCATCTTGAAGTCCAAGTTTTTGGCTTTGCTCTTGGAGGGCTTTTTCTCGCTGAAGTTGTTGTCGACTTTTTTTCATAGGGAGACGCCACTTTGGTTCAAATGGATCTATATAAAAAAGAAAATGAAGGAAAATTCCTTTGTGTGTACAGCAAATAATTATAATTTCTCTAAGGAAATACAGGAGTAGCATTAAACTTTGATAAAAATTCTACAGGGTTCCCCCTCCCTTCTCTAGCTTAAAAGCCCAGGGTAGAACAGCCATCTTCCTGTAGAGTTTCAATAGTTTTTCAACCATACTGTTAATATTTAACAAAAACTGTCCTAGCTCTCAATTTATCTTCGAGGAAGTCCATTTGTCTGTGAGTTAGGCCTTAGGATACAAAGTACGGTTTCTTTTTCGACTTAATTTGATAATTATCAACAAAATCAACTAATCTGATCAAGCTAGGTAGACAAATGAATTCTCTCCTATGTCTTAAATTTGATTTACAGTTGTGTCTGCTCTCCTGAAATAAAATGGTTGTTGAGTTTTCAAATGGGCTTCACCTTTCTTAAATCTTCACAAATCTTAGGGCAATTTGATACATAGGTAGATGCTATACACAAAGTATAGCTGAAAGAGGTTTCTTATTTCTAGGAATGTTGATTTATCCTAAATTGTTTTCTTTTATCCCAGAACAGTCCAAGGTTGTGTTCCCAAAGTCCAGTTAGCCTTTAATCAATGTTATGCAAGCTAACTTCAACAGCAGCCTGAGTAAAGCAATAGAAAAAGATAAAACAACTCAGAGCAATTTTTTATAAAAAGCATTATAAACTAAATAATAATACTTCTATTACACTTTTTGTATTGTCCATGCCAGTGTTTACCTCCAGGACAGACAACTGGAGAATCTAACTCACATTCAGACTATATTTAATAAGATCTATAAATGACAGACAGTCTTTACAAAATGCCTGGGAAATTAAATTATAAGTCCTTGTAAATAAACTCAAATAGGGCTTTTAAATCTACATATTGACCTTTGAAGCAACAAAAGCTTATTAAATTTCCCAAAGGAAAGGTAAAAGCTCTGGAGTCATAGTTCTAGAGTTGCTTTTATCCAGCTCAGCAACCTTGGGTACGTTAATTGATTATACCATATCTCAGTTTCTTCACCTCTCAAATGGGTTGAAAATTACCTGCTCTACTTAACTCATGGATTTGGTGTAAAGATTAAATGAGACATGTAAAGAAAATATTTTCAAAAGATAGATGTACTATCAAAAGTAGAATGTTATTATTGTTAACCTTAGCCAGAAACACAAAGTAGCTTCCTGTATCTTGCAACAAGAACTTATTCTTGGCTATGTATCTTTATTCACACCATCAGAAAATGTCATTAAGCCTGCTTACCTCCCAGTTACACTCATTAACTGACTTATTAATAGTGCCTCTCAAATTCTCTACTGCAGCTTCCATTTTATTTTACATTTTCACAGAACCTATCTATGAGATTTATAATGCTATTTTTTAAAATCCCAAACAATAAACATACCAGGCCACTTAAAAATAAAACATACGACCAAAAAGCTCCTGGAAATAATAAGCCACCATAGCAAGATTGCAAAATATAATACTAATGTAATACAAAAGTCAATAATTTTCCTATGTTCTAGCAATGAACAAGTGGAATCTGAAATTAAAAACACAATACCATTTACATTAGCACTCAAAACGAAAAAAAAGACCCTTAGGTATAAAACTTACAAAATATGTACAAGATCTATATGAGGAAAACTACGAAACTTTGATGAATAAAATCAAGGAACTAAATAAATGGAGAAATAGTCCATGTTCACGGGTAGGAAGACTCAATACTGTCAAGACGTCAGTTATCACAACTTGATCTATAGATTCACTGCAATCCTGATCAAAATCCCAGCAAGTTATTTTGTGGATATTGACAAAACAATTCTCAAAGTGTATATGGAGGGGCAAAAGACCCAGAATAACCAACACGATATTGAAGAACAAAGGTGGAGGACTTTGTGAAAGTATTTGACTTTGAGACTTACTATTATATATAAAGCTACAGTTATCAAGACAGTAGGTGTTAGTGAAAGACTAGACAAATAGATCAGTGGAACACAGCAGAGCCCAGAAAGAGGCCCACATAAATATAGTCAACTCATCTTTGACAAACAAGCGAAGGCAATAAAATGGAGCAAAGTCTTTTCAACAAATGGTCCTAGAACAGCTGGACATCGCATGCAAAAAAATGAACCCAGACACAGACCTTAAACCCTTCACAAACATTAACTCAAAATACAGCATAGACCTAAACGCAAAACCAAAACAATAAAACTGCTAGACAACAACGCAGGTGAAAACCGAGATGGCTTTGGGTATGGCGATGACTTTTTAGATATAACAGCAAAGGCACTATCCATGAAGGAGATTACTGTTAAGCTAGATTTCATTAAAACTTAAAACTTCTGCTCAGCAAAAGACATTGCCAAGGGCATGAGATGGCAGCTCACACACTGGGAGAAAATGATATGCAAGATACATCTGATAAAGGACTTTTTAATTTCTCTCAATCAAATAGGTATGAAGTAGTATCTCACTGTGCTCTTGGTCTGCAATTCTCTGCTTATTGACGGTGATAAGCATCTCTTCATATTTCCTTTTCTAAGACATATCTATTCATGTCTTTCGTCAATTTTTCTTTTGGCTTGTTTGTATCTTTTCATATATCAGCAACAACTGGAAAACATAATCGAAGCATTGTAGCTGCATTGCTTTTTCATTTCCATTTTTTTCATTATGAAATAAATCATATATCAACTAACATGTATGTTTCACACACACAAATCCAACCCGTATGGGTTATTAAAAAAAACCAAAACCACAGTTTAACAAATAAAACATGACTCATAGACATAACTGCTGTTTAAGGATAGAACATTACTCCCTTTTTTGGAATACACAAGATAACTGTATTTCCTGTCCTCCAAGTCATATGATTTGCTTTTATTAAGTGAAATGTTAGTAGGAGTGACACCTGTCATTCACTGATGGAAGCATTTTATTTCTAATGCTCAATTCTCTATCTTCTTCTCCTGCCATGGTTAACTCCTATATGATGGCACCAAAGCATGGTGTGGAGTGAACTATGTGGAGTCGAGTCACCTGCCAACCCATGTTAGACATAAAGCTAGAGTGAAAATTAAATCTTTATTAAACAATTGATATTTTAGGGCCATTTGTTACTGCAGCTTAAACTTGGCTTAACCTGATCTCATAATTACCACTACCTTTGAAATTCTCTATGTATTTGTCCCTCCTTGATCATATTCCCCTCGCCTCCCCCACCATCCTGAATTTTGTATATTATTCCATCCCCTTGATTTTCTTCATAGATTTCCTATATTACTAAAAGAATACACCTGCTTTGTATGGTTTTGACCATCTATAAATGGTATCGGACTGTATAGATTCTTCTGTAATTTGCTCTTTTCATTTATGCAAACACATTATTTATGAAATTTATACATGTTAATGGATGTGGCTACAGTTCAAATATCCCCACCAGCTGTATAGTAGCCTACTGGATAATTATACCACAATTTATTTATCCACTACCTTGTTATTGAACACTTGGTTTATTTCCAGCTTTTTAATATTATAAACAAGAGTGTTAAGAACATGCTTGGCCTTAACCAATGCAAATATGGGTTTCTCTAGAATATTGCTGCTCTTGCTTTTGCTGGTAACCAACTCCATTTTCACAGATTAATTATATTTTTACGGTTGGAGAACAGCTGGAAGGAGCCTTAAAGATTGAAGATCCAGTTCTTTCAGTTTTACAAAGGAGAAATCCAAGGCAAAAAGATTTAGAGGCAGAGCTGGGAGATCTACATGCCAACCACTGTGTTCGGTTCTGAGTATACAAGGATGCGGAGATGTTTTCTCTGTCCTCAAGGTGACCATAGGCTAGTGAGTTGGCTAATATGCTCTAATATCTGGCTCTGAAATGATAGGCCTTGAAATTAAAGTCCTTCCACCCTGCCCCCATCCCAAAGAGCAGATATTTACAAGTATATTTCTACATAATGAATCTATTAATTTAGACTTCTATGTGAAGTCTTCTTTCCCCGGCAAACTCACTTCTGCTAACACGTAATCTCTGTGATATCTTCCCAAGCTCCACCCAAGCCCCAGCACAGTGGGGTTCCTGCTAGCTTGGTGGCAAGTTCTTGTATAATATCTATCTATCATCACATTATACTATAGTTTGTCTCCTTGCTAGGCTAGAAACTCTTTGAAGGTGGGGGTGATGCCTTGCTCCTTTTAGCATCCCTACTGCAAAAGCTGATACCTGTAACTTCAGGTCAGAACAGAAACAGGAGTACTTATACTCTGTACATTTGAATAAGTGAATAGATGTTGAAAACACAGAGCAAGGGAATTGCAGAATATCAAGCTAGATAGAGTCAGGTAGTTACACAGTGTAGTATAACTTCTACGATATCATTTTTAAAGGTCTCTGAACCAGTCAAAACTTCCTCAATCTATACAATCTACACTGGCCCTATGTTACTAATTTACTTCTCTTTCCACTTGTCAGCCCTAGGTTATTCTTAAATCTGTGCTGAAAACGCACAGGCCTACCTGAGCAACGTCCAATTTTCTCACAAACTCTAATAAAAGGCATGGGAGGGTTTATTTAAATGTCTCCCAAGGTAAAGTGTGTAAGTTAGAGTACCAAGAGTGGTGTAAACTCACAGTAGCGGTGTGCGCTTCCAGGGTCACCATACAGAATGTTACGAAATTTCAAGCACAAACAAAGCATAGTTTCTACCACCACGAGTTTCTCACCAAGTATCAGCAAATTTAATGCCTTCATTAAAAGCTAAAACAGCACAAGTCCATTTCAATGATCACTTTATAAAGCCTGAGAAGGAAGCACAAAATTTTGGCTTATACCTATGCAGTGTACACGCCCCCTAAGTACACATTTCACATCTAACCTCTCAAATGCCTCTTTCGTTTGCTGACTCTCACGAGTTGGAAAGAACTGCAAAAATCATCTGGCAGCCAGAAGTGAATGCAAGACTTGATACATACTATGAAAAGCACCGACGTTTTGCGTTGGAGACCCCTCTGCTTCCCTTTTCCCAGCCGTTGTCTGCTGCTATAAATTCATCACAGCTCTAACATGGTGTGTGCCTCTCCTTCCTCTGCCCTGACCCCATCCCTCCAACCACTGATCTATGCAGCAATCCTATAGGACAGCCAGGCTGCAGGGTCACTTCCTCTCCAAGTCCCACTCCTGTCACAGGAAAAAGCCCAATCTTTCAATGGATTCCTGAATTCTCTTTCCTAAAAGTAGATTCCAGCCTCCCCCACACTCCCTAGGCCCGCCCCTTCCACTATGGCTCCAGTACCATCCATCCACCTCTGGGGCCCCCTCAAGCCTGTCCTCCCACTCACAGCTCCATCCCTTCTCTCACACACACACACACACACACACACACACACACACACACACACACACACACACACACACACACACACACACACACACACACACACCCCTTCCCTGCCCCTTTCCCATCAAAAGCTGCAGCCCCGCCCCCTCCCCGTAACAGACACACGCATTAAACCTCTGCAGGCACGTCCCGTTACCTTTATTCTGCTTTAGTCGCCTCAGCTCCTCCTCAGAGAAGCCAGCCCAACCCCGCGCCATCCGCCCCGGGCTGCCAGCACCCCTAGAACACCCAAACCTCAGAACTCCGACTGCCAGCACGACTGCCCAGGCACATCCGGGTTCTTCCCCGGCAGCGGCAGACCAGCCAATCAGCGCGACGAGCTTTGACACGAGGCCCCCTCTTCCTCGCCGCAGGGTCCTGCTCCCTCCGAGGCTGCCTCCGGTTGTGCCGGACAAACTACCTGCGGAAATCTCGGCCACGCAGGCGCTCATTCTCTCCTGACCTGGCTCTGCTCCCTCTTTTGTCTCCTATGCTCCTGGGGTTCATTGCGTCGGGAGATGAGGGGAGAAACGGAGAGGGTGGGGATCAAGGTGGAGACAAACAGGCAGTCCGGAAGTGGCTACGTGCGGCTGGCGGAAAAGGGCGGAAGTGACTGCCTTGGGGGTCCTGCGAAGCTCGCCGGGGCGGAGCCTCTATCTGGTGGGTCTGAGGTGTGTCCTCGGTGGCTTGGGCAGGTGCCTTTCGAAACTGCGCGGGAATCGTCCTGCAGGTGGACTCCAGAGAATGTACAGCTCTCAGGTGTTTAGTTATGAAGAAACATGTTAGAGGACTGGGATGTAATTCCTGGAAAGGGAGCTGACACGTTTCACAGGGCTTCTTTGCGTAGCTAGGTCGCCCGCAGGCCGTGGCGTCTCCCCGATTTCTCTTCATTAGGGGCTTGTGGCCTTGATGGTTTTTATAAATGATTCTTGCTAATCTGTAACATCTGAGAGATGTCTAAATCTACCCCCCCCCCTTAAAAATGATCTCCCACCTGTTTCCATGGTTCCAGAAGGCGATGTAAGACGTCGGCCCTGGGAGGTGGGCAGACAGACATCCCCTTAGGCTTCTCCCTGATTTTTACGTCGGTCTGGTTCTACCTTGACCACACAACCTTCCGGGCTTCCCTTTTCTCACTTTTAGATTTCGAAGATTAAAAGATGCAAGTATTGGCAAGGAACATATAGATCAGGATGATTGAAAAGAGACCAGTTACTCCGTTTTTCATGTTTCTCTCACTGTTGAACACTTCAGAAAACTTTTATTTTGGCTTAAAATCCCAGGCGTGGCCTTCGACTTCAGTGGCTCGGTCTTATTAAATAAATTGGAATAAAGGCGTAGACTGAAAGTAAAACACCACGCCAAGAAAAGAGTTGAAATGGCGTATTTCATGTTTAAATAGGTGATCACAAAGGGGGAAGGATGTCTGGAATCACCCTGGTAACGTTTGAGCGTTTAAACTTAAACGTGGCTTCTGAAATTTAGGTGTGCACAAATGCTTCATTTTAAATGGGGGCTCGTTTCCCCTGACATTTAAAAGTTAAAATGCCATCCATAAGGATTGGAGGAGACAGATTCATCCATTTTTTTGAACATAGACTAAATACCTTAAAGATACAGATAAGCTCCGAAATAGTAGATGGGGAGCAGAAGTCCGCTCGTTAATTCAGTTTTCCATTTGTAGACACCAACCATCTAGTTCCATTTAATACACACGAACCATGTTGTATGCCCCATGTTACATTTTATACACACGCTTTCTTTTGCTCACTGGGTGAATTTCAAGAATTATCGATAATCTAGAGAGATGGATGTTTTGGTAGTTTAAAAGGTTTTGTGTTCATCCTGAATGAGAACCAAATCATGAGTTGAGATGATAGTAAAAGATAACGTCATTTGTATAAAATGGTAGTTTCCAGTGTGCAAGGTTCTAAATCTGTTTGTTTTTGGGGTTTTTTTTTGCCCCCCTGGTGGCTCTCCCTCATGGTGACTGGTTTCTTCAAGTGACGTATAATATTTTATTGGGAGCTTATCTTCAAAGTTCTTTGTTCTGTGGGAGTCTTCTGTACCTTGCATTGACAGACTGTCTCCACAGATGGGTTTTTCTGGGCTTCTAGAAGTTTCAGTTGCTTTAAACCAGATTTAAGTTAATTTTTTCAACTTGTGATAGAAATGTGGATCTCACCCCCGTAGATATGATACAGGCCTCAGATACCGGTTTTTGCAGGCGCCTGTTACGTATGTGTATCATGTTACTCGGAGATAGCAGGCTTCCTTGCTGCTTTTCCAGAGCAATAGGCTTTTTTTTCTCCAATCCTCTGTTGTCACGTGGACCATCATTCTAGGCTCTGAACTTGATTTCGGTGAGCTTGTCTTCAAATATGTATAGGAATTCCAACTCCCAGCACTGAAATTCAGGTCGAGCCCCCCTTGGGTTTGCTTTCTACAACTTTTTGCATTCTTTTAAGTTCTGTGATGTATTTTTTGGTTTTAAATAAAAACACGTTATGTGTTCAGCATTTTTGTGTGTTTATGGCAAAAGGAGCCATCTGTGACATCGTACACTGTTATATTGCCTCCAGTTGATGCTTTACCATAGCAGCTAGAGTAATCTTTTAAAACATAAAAATCTAATGTCTGTAGCCTGCTTCGAACTGCGAAATGGCTTCCTGTCGCACTTTGAATAAGACCCCAGTTCCTGTGTGAGCCTGCACGATCTGACCTCTGCCTGCCTCGCTTCTGTGACCGCGAGGCTCGCCCCCCCTTTACACTTCAGCCGAATTGGCTTTCTCTCGGGTTTGAGAGCATCCAGCCTCTCCCCCAGTGCTCTCCCGCCCTACCCAGGGCTTCCCCAAATGCTGTTGTGTTTGACTATGGCGATCTCTCTCTTGTCTGGCTGGTTCTTTCTCCTTCAGGTTTTTGACCTGAATGTCCTTCATTCAGTGACAGAGGGTGTCATTTTCAATGACCGTTCTATCCAAATAGCATCTCTCTCTGACCCTCCCCCATTTCTGTGTTCTTTATTGTTTTCATAGCACCAGTTACAACTCCTAAATTATTTGCATTTGTTTGTTTACTTGTTTATTTTGTTTCCCTCTATTAGGTAATAGCTTCACAAGATTAGGGGATGTAGCTTTTATTCACTGTGTGTATAACAGGATGTTTGATGCCTGCTTAGCACTCAAGTAAATATTGACACCTTTCCAAGTTAAGTATTGAGTTGAAACATTTCCACATTTAATGTATTCTGAGAATCCTTTCTGATATGAATTTCTATGATGGTCAATAACATTAACCCTATTTATTATATCCATTTGTAGCCATGAACTCTTTGGATAGTAAGTAAAAAACATTAAAAATAGGTTGAGAAAAATCAAGATGGCATTTTATTCTTTATAAGGCCTTAAAATAGTATTTCCGCAACATTCTGTAGTTTTCGGTATGTAGGTCTTTTATCAGATTTAGCTCTAAGTAGTTAATAACATGATGCTATTGTATGTAGTATTTTAATTCAGTTTTCAATATTTTTGCATCTGTTATATAGAAATAAAATTGATTTATGTTTGTTGATCAACCATGATAAGCACACTTATTAGTTATAGCATTGTTTTCTAAGATCATCCATTGGATTGACAATGGATGATCGTGCTATCTGCAAATGACAGTTTTACTTTGTTTCCAATCTGCATGCCTTTTATTTTTCTTGCCTTATTGCACTGGCTAGACCCACCAGTATAATGCTGAATAGAAGAAGTGAGATTGGACACCAGTCTTGTTCTGATCTTAGGGGAAAAGCATAGTCTTTCACCATTAAGTTTGATGCTAGCTTTAGGTTTTTTTGTAGGTGACCTTTATCAGTGTGATGAAATTCCTTTCTATTTTTAGTTTGCTGAGAACTTGTATCAGAAATCGATAATGGATTTTCTTGCATGCTTTTTCTGGGTCTATTGAGATGATTATATGATTTTTCTAGTATAGGTTGTTAATATGGTGAATTGCATTGATCAGTTGGCCAGTGTTATACCAATCTTGCATTCTTGGGATAAATGCTACTTAGACATAACATATTATGCTTTTTATATATTGTTGGATTTGATTGGCTAAAATTTTATTTAGAATTTTTGCATATGTTCATGAGGGTTATTGGTCTATAATTTTGTTTGGTGTAATGTCTGCCTCGTTTTGGGATCAGGGTAATACTGGTCTAACCAAATGAGAAATAGTTTCTTCTCTTCACGTTCCTGGAAGACATTTGTAGCACTGGTATTAATTCTCTCTTATATACTTGGTAGAATTTATCAGTGAAGCCATCTGACATTTCCTTTATGGGAAACTTTATCTACAAATTGAGTTTCTTTGATATGTGTAGAGCTGTTCAGATTATTGCTTCTTGAGTGACTCTTGGTAGTTTTTTCTTTCAAGATATGTCTGTTTCATCTAAGTTGAACGTATTGATTGGCAAAGTTGTTTATAATATTTTCTTGTGCAGTAAAGGGTTAACTCAGAGGGTTTGTGGTGTTCAAACCCTGCACATTACAAAGAAAGGACTGGCTCCTGAAAGAAAACCTCTAAGCCCTTGGACTATCCTGCATGGTAATATTGTCTTTGTATATCTAGGGCCTTTGTGCTCATCAGATAGTTTGTGCTAACAATGTAATTTATGGTGAATGCCTGTTTTTGTTTAGCTGGATTCCTGGGCCACCCTCTCTGAGTTTGATCTCTGGAGGGACTGGAGACTGGCTAGCTGAAATCAGTCATGTGGCTGCAGCATGCAGCCTGACTGACTCCCAATAATAAACCTAGACAACAAGGTTTACATGAACTTCCCTGGTTGGCAGTACCTCCTGTGTTGACACATGTCATTGCTGGGAGAATGAAGTGCATGTATTTGCTGGGAGAATGAAGTGCCATTCATACAATTATACTTGGAGAGGACAACTGGAAGCCCATATCTGATTTCTACTGGACTCTTATGCGTGTTTGGTTTTAAATATTTAAAGATTTCTGGACACTTCTCTTGTTGATTCCTAATTTAATTCTATTGTGGTCAGAGAAGTAGTTTGTATAATTTGAATTTTTTTTTTTTATCTACTGAGACTCGTTTTTATGGCCCAGGATGTAGACTCTTGGAAAATGTTCTGTGTAAAAATGAAATGACCATGTATTCTGCTGTTGTTGAATGGAGTGTTGTATTAGTCCCAATGAAGTCCATTTTGGTTGATTGTGTTTTTAAGTCCTCCATATCCTTATGGGTTTTCTATCTACTTATTCTATTACTTATTGAGAGATGAGAATTGAAATCTGTGGATTTTTCCATTTCTGCTTGCAGTTCTGTCAGTTTTGCTATATGTGTGTTGAAGCTATGTTATTAGGTTCATAAATATTTAAGATTGTATGCCTTCTTGATTATTTGACCCACTTATTATTAAACATTTGCCCTCCTTTTGCCTGGTATTATTAGCCTGAAGTCTACTTACTCTAATATTAAGACATCACTCTAACTTTCTTTTGAGTAATGTTAGCATGGTATATCTTTTTCTTTTTTCTTTTTTAACTTTTCACTTACTTGTTCCTTTCTTTTAGGCAGCATATAGCCGATCTTGCTTTTCTAGACAATCTAACAATTTCTGTCTTTTAACTGGTGTGTTTATAACATTTATATTTAATGTGATTATTATGTTTGGGTCTTAAACCTCTCAGCTAAGCTTTAAGCCTTAAATCAATCAAAATATTTCAGCCTTTGTTTTCTCTTTGTCTCA